AGCTTCATCCTGTTTATCAGCCGGCACAGCCCGTGGTTCCTCAAGTGCAGCCTAAGACAAACGAACCGAAGAAGAATGTTTTCAAGGTCCGGTTCAACTTCAACTTGCTCGGCATGAGTGATGCTTGTCGTGAAGGATATTTGGAACTGTGCGTTATCCCCTCAATTGGAGGAAGGAGACTATCTTGCTGACATTGACCTCACAGATTTGAAGCTGCGTGGAATGGTGACATTGCCACCATCAGGACCTTGACAATGGGTATGTGGGGAGCAACTCAGGATCAGCTACCCCTCGAGATTGCGGTGAATGACTCAAGGGGTATCTCATGTCTTTCAATTGCCATCATGCGTGGCCACCTGGCGGTTGCCAAATCGATTCTTCAAATCCTGCGCGCACAGCTGAAGGTCAAAGAGCCCCGTGGGAACAAGCAAAAGCGGTTTGAGATGGCAATCAATGATGAGTGCTCATCTGACGAGGACGAGGATGATGACCGGTTGAATATCGTGGGTGATGAGGTTGACGATACTTTCACACACGACAACGTTGGCGAAGTCATCAGTCATGTCGAGAGTGACACAACTCCTTTCCAGGCCTTCTCAAAGCAGTTTGATGCTTTCCTATTCCTCGATGCGCTCCCACCAAAGTACCTCTGCAGAATCGTTCCCGACGGCAACCATTACTATGGAAACCAACAGGGTGTGAAGATCAACAGTCTTGTGAAGTACGCGATTTACAAGAATGACCTTACCCTCTTGGATTTCTTGTTGGAGACTGGAAATGAACTCGCTCAGAACAACCCATCTGGAAAGTTCAAATTCTCAATCTCCTCTGAGGAGTTCCAACTTGCCATCGGGCTAGGTCGCATCGACTGCCTTTCCAAGCTAATTCAGGGCACCGGGGCTGGACTTCCACTTGCCAAACTGAGTCAAGATTGCGGAGTCGAAGCTCGCAAGGAGCCTCAGTACTATCCTGGCTTGTCGATACGTGGCACAAAGCGTACTGATTGGGCCGATGCTGGGCGAGGTGGAGAGATCGGACATCCAGATCAGCGCCCACCTCTTCTAATTGCAGCCCTCCAGGGCAATCTTGCTAGTACAGAGTTCTTCCTTGGTACTGGCCCTGGAAGGTATTATCTTGAGTATTTGAACTCAATCCCGGATGATGAGGACGTTAAGAGACTCGCTCAGTCCCAGCTTGGCGTTGAAGGGACGCTTTTGAACTGGTTGCAGAGGAGAAGTAAGTTAGCTGACCAGAAAATTGAAGATATTTACTGACTCCTCGTTAGACAACCTTGTGATCCATTGTGCTGTGATGTCCCGACCATCTGACGAAACAGAGCGTCTTGTGCAGTACCTTGTTGATCATCATCCTGAATGCGTTGAGATCCGGTCTAGTGGTGGATTCACACCCCTCGCCTTGGCCATGTCGCTCCATCGGGTCAGGTTCGCTCGTATACTGATAGCCGCAGGAGCCAACCAAGCAACTCGGGATTCGGAAGCAAACAATCTTCTACACTTGATTCTTAGCTCGGCCCAAGGTCGGACTTGCAAGAACTCCGACCGATGTGCCAGGCTTATCGGTCTCCTCGACTCGCAGCTCATCCCTACAATGCTGGTCGAACGGGCAGGCGATAGCTCACAGACACCTTTCGCGCGCTGGCTGAACCGTTACCCTAGGTTCCGTCGCGATGAGCCAATCTTGCCAGATCATGCTCTTAACCCGAAGTCGGAGACAGCAACGGTTGTTTCCATGACAAATCTGATTTTGGATCTTGCAAGTTCCTCCAACCAAAGGCATCTGGAGCTCTTCGATGGCGCAGGAAACACTCCGGCTCATGACGCAGTCAAGGGAGGTTTCCACGAAGTCCTAGAACAAATGCTGGACCGTCGCCCTGACCTTCTGTACCGCGAGAATGCAACTGGAACCACTGCACTCGAAATGGCCGTGGACGCTTGGGTGAACCAAAGTACTTCAGCGCCACCTTCAAGTCCTGTCAAGGGCAGAAGCCTCCCACCTCAATCCTTCAACATGGTTGTTCGCAAACCAGTGTATTTTGTCAAAGGTATCAGTGTCCCAGACGACGAAGTGAATATCATGCTGCGGGTCTGCCAAGGTCGCGCTCACCAACGTCCTGCGAAGAGAAGACTGGTCAGTCTTTTCGAGGCGAACGAGGTTGCAAAGAGGTTGGCGGCTAGATCAGAGGCTTCTGCGGAACATGGATATGGAAATGGTCGTCGTCGGTATCGTTATCAGCGATCCTCAGACCGTGAAGAAGATGAGGTTGCCATGTCTCACTTCTTAGCTTCTCAGTGATAGTCTCTTTGGGGAAATTGTGTTATCAGATGGAGATTCACGAATCCATGGTTCTATAGTACCCCTTTATTTACACATCCAAAAAATTTAAATGTTTAAATGTATATCACTCCATGCGATATTTACTTAAGACACAACAGCCAGCTTGCTTCGGACTGGCATATTGTCCTCCATTCCTGGTTCAGGGAACCCGGAGACATCAACACCCTTCCGGAATAAGAGACAGTGAGTCGAGCCACCAAAATGGAACATGCCAATCTCATCACCCTTGTTAAGTTTATCTCCCTCCTTGACAGTGATATCACAAGTGGATACCTCCGCCATACCAACACCGATGAATGCCATGAGTCCAATAGCTGGTTCATCCGCTTCAATGAAGATAAGGGCCCTGGTAGCAGTCGAAGTAATGTATCCCTGCGAGGTAACCTGACCAGCCATATCGATTTCATTAGCAGACACCTCCGGATTCCCAACACCCTCAAACAGCGGCTCAGAGTAGTAAGTGCCATCAACCACATAAGCCTTGACAACCTTTCCACTAACAGGCGCATGCCAGCGGTGATAACTCAAAGCACTGAGGAAAGCCTGGTAAACAGTACCACCAACGAACTGAGAAGCAAGCTCATCATGACCAAGCATATCAAGAACAGAGTACGGCTGACTCTTAATCCAAAACTTATCACGCGCTTGAACATGGTGCGCAGTTCTAAACGGCTTCGACTCACACGCATTGGCAATAACCTTCCCATTCTCCGGTTCCGCAACAGGACGTATCCCTTCCCTGAAGACGCGCGTAAAGAACGCATCCCAAGAGTTGAACCCGTGATTTGGTGCGGAGGGGTCACACTCGAACATATCATGGAAATGGAGATCCGTCGCAGCCGTAGGACCGATCTTCGCAACGGCTGTCAGATCACGTCGACCTGTTTCGCTGAACCAGCCGTGTGAAGAGGTATTCAGGACATCAGCTGAAGCGGGTGAGCGCAGGTACTCGCTCCAGACATTGAGAATTTTCTTGATCATTGCGTTGATCTCTGGATCGAGGAATGCTGCGTAACCACTTGGTGTACCCATCGGCCAATCGAGGACTGCATTGATCGGTAAACCAACTAGGCCAACGCGATGGGATTTATCAGTCCATGAAGGGGCCGTAGTAAGAAGGTGATTCAAGACTTGTAGGAAATGGTGATGATCACGAATCTCCGGGTTTCCGGTTGGGTCATGGCCGTATCGTTTCTGGCGGGGGACTTCCTTGAACATGGAGGTCAGGAGCATATATACTCTCGTGTTTGTTTCGATTAAGTGTTTAAATTCTTCAAGGACTGGGTGTAACACAGTCTGTTTTTCGTCAACCTTTCGGATGATTCCGCCGAGCCATTCTTTGTGGGTTTTGTGGTCGGCTGGCATCCAATTTCCCGTTCTGGTATGGTTAGAGATTGTAGGGGTGTCAATGGAAGTGAATTTCATACTTGTGGAGGTGGTGAGAATAGCCATCTTGAGTCATATTGAAGGTGATACTTGTAAAGGTACGTAGACGTTTCGCAAAGAGAGACTAAAATCTGGGGAAAGGCGGTTAAGGTAAAGCTTGACTACGACAATCGGCTTGGCGATGAGTCGATCTTTATACTGTAGGGCTATAGACATCTCAAGCTAGAGTGTTATTATTACATCAAGATGACGCCTCGAACTCTAAAAATACAAAAGCTTTTGTCAATTGCATTGATTCCTTGAATATTGTGTGGAGAAGTGGGCTGATATCCAAGTATCCGAGTATGATGTCATCTCTCCATGTACGCTAAAATCACCCGTGTACAATTTCTTTCGAAGAAGTTCACAGCATCAAAACGGTCAACTTACGATGTTCTTTTCTGTCCATTTACTATAGTCATATGCGGCGGGTTTGGAATCCTATGCTAACCTTGAAGTGCGGCGCTTAGTCACTACACGCAATCTCTTGATAGCTAGTTAAGGCCCGTCACTATTCTTAAAGAATTAACCGGCCCAGTTAGATATAGATATAAATAGGGGACTGATACAGACACCCCCCTTTGGATAACGTAATTCACTACCGAGCTGCGCACCTACCCTCGATCTATTACATTTAAATGCTTTTATCTCACTACAACGCTATTAAATTAAGCAGATTACCTATTTAAACCTATTTAGACATGCATTTCTCTTATGTCCCTGAATTATATATAACCCGCATTTTGGTAAGGCCCTTGTTCGAGGCTGTAGAGGTCCTGAAATCTGCTCACGAACCTGGGTTATACGGGCTATTTGGGACTCAATTGGCTCCGACCGTAGCTCACGAACCTCTTAGAGGGAGATATCACCTTTGTGAGCTATCTATCTAGTAGACCGACTTCTGCTTTTGCTTCTACTTCTCGTTAGTAGCACGTAAATCGCTTACTTCTTTCTTAAGAAAAGCTGTCGATTGTATCGTAATTTGGTAGGCCTTTAAAACCTGATCTATCGCGGAGTTAAGTGGGCTCGGTGGGCTTCTTAAGCGCTCTTTCAGCAAAGCTTCAATTGAGGAAGCTATTTTGTCGCTTCTTTACCATGCATCTGCTCGTGGGATGACAGAAGCAGTGTCTTTCTTGCTGGAATGCAACGCTGATATTGAAAAGGCCGACAGCTATGGATGGCGTCCGCTGCACGTCGCATCGGAATTTGGTCAAGTCACAATGGTCGAGAGGCTAATTGGCGCCGTTCTGATCTTGACGGGGAATCATGGAATGCTCTTTCTCTTTATTTGGGCTGTAATGGGGGGTAACGTCGACATAGTCGAGCTTCTTTTGAAGCATAGTGCGGATGTGGATGCAAACACAGGGTCCTTCAAAGGCACCGATGGAAGAATTCTTGGACCCACTGCTCTTCATATAGCATTAGATCCACGGGCATGGTATCCTGGCGACGAGGACGATGAAGATCGTGAAGATTATCATGAAGACTATTTGAAGATTGCTAGAATTCTGGTTGAGAAGGGAGCTTCTGTCAGAGGTGTCTTGGATCAACTGCAGGTGAATGACGTTCCAAGTTTCGAGGGGTTCAAAGATGTCTGAGATAGGATTCGAAGGGTTTGAGGATGCCCAGGAGAAGATCCCAGGGAGTTGCAGATGCATGGGATGAGATTCGAAGCTATATATAAAACTGAGAGATTGCAACGTAATTCACCACCGAGCGCAGTCAGCCAAGGACTGAAACGTGCCTATATCACCTTCTTATAGATTTCCTTAACCCGGGAAATGGCTTATGACTGAAACATACATATTTCGAGAATTAAGCTATTGTTATCAAGTTACATCATTACGAGGCGAAGATAATACCAGAATTAGTGCAACGGCTGTTCCAATTCTCTCCCTAAATCTCAAAATCCATATCAACTCCCATCCTGCCCATCACGATCTCTCTCGTATTTTTTTTAGGGGAGCTAATTCTAGACCACGCAAATGTACAGAACCCCCCGGCGTGGTAGCAAGTCGGTCAACTACAGGCATGGGAAAGGCTCATTTAGTAGTGGTGTCGCATTTCGCCTTTAATATTTACCTCCATGTTCTTAATATTAAGCTTAGCCTCCCTCTACTTATCTACCTCTCCATCCGAGTAATTAGTCCGATATTTATTAAACGAATCCTCTTTCTTAATATCAAATCTACTACTACACTAGGATATTATAATATCTTGAAATTACTATAGAATTTAGGCAGCTACAGCGATAGTAGCAGATATCCTACATAGAGTTAAATAGACGTTTAACGCCTACGCGGGTTATAGGAATCAAGAGAATATCGCGGGTGACGCTTATAAGAATATGGAATTCATAGGTATATTCCTAAAGGAGTAATAGATCAATCGCCTTTCTCACTATCGGAATTATTTAGTAAGTATAGATATAATCCTTGTTCTACATTCAACAGCGAGATATCCTTCAAATACACGGAAACCGTGTCCGGAGCCGAGTGTGAATTGAACAGACCCAAGAAATCCCGCTTCGTGAAATTTGCCGATTTAATTACCAGGACTACCGTCTGGTGGCAATATATCCAAATAGTCTTCGGCCATTGCCCGTTGGGGAGGCCCATGATCACTGAGCCCACTCGACACAAGCCGGGCTGTCCAACCCCTTTTAATGCTCAACAGAAGGTCAAGGGCGCGAGAAGCATTTTCGAAGAATTTTCCAAGCTCAGCTAATGCTTGACAGCAGGTATCCAGGTTGCGACAAAGATTCGCACCGTCATAGCACCCGGAACGATCCAATGTTGCAAAAAGTAGCATTAGAGCCGCTGAGAATGTGATGCTGACAACCTGAATATTGATTTGCCGTAGGGTGTAGCGAGTCTCATACATATTCAAGAGCTGCGCAATTGCTATGGCAGACTGGAGACAAAGCCTGCGTGAACAGCCGAAGCGATTATGCTGATTTACCTCCGATAATCGATTTCGCGAGATGAATGGTCGGTGGATAAATATCAATATTTGATAATATTGCATGCTTCAAACGGGTAAGTCTATCTCTTCGAGCGCTCAATTCTTAGTGTACCCAAGCGATAATGACTTACTGTAAGAGAAGAAGGTGGGGTAAATATAAAGTGGATGTGTCGTTGGGATCGATCTGCAATTCGGCAGGGAGACCGCTTTTCCATGATTCAAGACGCTGGACGGCTCCATCTGCGACAGCAACGAGTTCTCCATCTGATATACATGTGGAGCCATATCTAAGTGAAGCGAGGTCAATCTTCCCTGTCCTCAAAAATCCTATTCAACCTTACAGTATATCACCAAATACGTCCATAGTCTCACAAAGGCAAATCCATTGTTGAGATATAAGATCCAGCGGATCCGAAATTCTCAGAGTCAAGCTCCCCTCATTCTGATATTTCAAAGAGCCGTATGGGGTCCAAAATCTCTGCGTAGACCCCGGCACCATTCCCTTGGGTTTCTTTACCGTGATGCTTCCGCCATTCTTGTGGAATGGACGGCCCAAGTAGAACCCCCACAGACTGTTACTAAAATTAGGACAAGGTCTCTGACTGGGTTCCGTCGAAATATCTCACTGATCAATGATGTAAGTGCCCCAAAATGCCGTACTCCTGGCGATGTTCTCCGCCTCGCTCATTTCCTTGTTGAGAACACGCGGTCGCGTGTCAATATGAAGACCCAGGTCAAACACCAGTCGCATTGCCATTCCTGAGCGTGTGTCAGACTTTAACAAGCCATTAGCCATCTGAAAATTCACTGACCACTGTACAGCCATCCGCGTGGATCGCGGGTTGCGCCCGCTTCGAATGTGCTCAGGATCACCAATGCTTGAACCGTGGCAATTTTAGGTGAATTTAAGTCCTCCTCTAGGAGAGTTTTAGCCATCTTTGCAAATACCTCAGCTCGTTGTCGTGGATTTCGTTGTCTAGGATCCAGCAGAGCCCCAGTGGCGCAACTATAAATGAGTTAGACATCCCAATCCGTGCTTTCACAGGCAAAATCTCATACATGGCGTTTTCTAGGAGACAAGAATAGAACGTGCTGTCCTCTTTCCTGTTGCCCCAAAGGGCCTTTCCGTGGTAATACATCGGTTGGTCTACAACATGGTAGGCCGGATCCTGCCAGTGAAAAAAGAGGGCTTCCAAATGGGCTTCTTCACCGGAGTCAATATTCTCGTGAATATTTGCTTGCTCGTTGTCTGCGGCTATTCCGAAGCTAATATTTGGGGTCACGTCATTCCAGAGCGATCCTCCCAGATTGAAGTTAGATGTTGCTCCATAATAGCGCAATTGGCCGTCTGGCGTCAGATGCAGTTGGCCCATACGATCCGATATTTGATCCAGTAAGACATGTTCATCGATATCAGTGTTTTCGTCTCCAGAGAGAGTTTGAGAATCCTCATTCATGCTCATTTCGGCGAGCGAGCCTCTGTTGTTCGAGTTTATTCCCTCACTGGTAGAATAGCCGGAGAATGTTCCCATTGAAGGACCGAGAAACTCAGGGATATTGTCCCAGCCGTAGAGGCTTGCCCCAGAAATGTCATCAAAGGTCATACTTTGGTGATAATCTACCGGATCCAGGCGGAAACAATCCATCATATTGCGCATGGATCCAGATTCAGAGCGCGAATAGCTGCCATCCACTGCAGCCTGAATTCCATCTCTTTCCACCCCTAGTGAAACAGTTGGGGATGGATGCTGTTTTTGATCTGATTTAAACGATTGTAGGAGTTTCTCAAGAAGGGCCCTGTCACCAACAGGTGGCTTGGGTGGAACCAAGTTCGCATTGTAAATGAAATCTGTCAGGCATTCAGCTCTGCGTAACAATACCTCTGCGGCTTTCTTTGGGGAGATCCTATAGAGTTTAGCAGTTTTCGTCGGTTCGTGGGCCATTTTGCTTCTAATACCTTCTTCTATCCTCTTCTATCAAATACAGGCATGCTTTTGATTTTTGGACGCATCGACTGCACTTCGGCTTTACTCCGTCACACTTCAACGAACACCACCTTTAGAAACCATATTGGACAGCGAAGTTCCGGAGGGACTTGCCTTCAACTTGCCACTTCGACAGAGTGTGCATGCAGTTGAAATATTCTGCCTGGCACCTCTGTGGGATTTAAATTTCAGTGCCATATTTCTGGGCTGGGTTCGCTACTGAAGCTTGGTCACGGACGACATTGAGGGGCAGGAGGACAGGCAAGGAGGGGAAATTCTAAAGAGTCATATCTGTAGGTCTTTCTATCTCCGAGGTCACAGTCCACCTATATGCGGGGGTTATAAGAAGGACCCACTCATAGCACGTAGAGCGCTATCGAACCTTGAGACTATATCTGTGCTGATGTTGATAATATGCCGCAGCACGCTCGAACGAGGTTCCTATTGGCTAGGGAGCATCCTCTCCTCATTGACAGAGTCGATGGTCCCCGGTTAGGGGCACAGGGAGGAAGTGCATTTACCGTGTACGGACCAGCGTAGCTGGGACACTCGTAAATCATGAGCACTATTCAGAAGAAACCAGTCACTTTACCCAGCCGATCGTTGATGTTTCGACCAATCGGAAAACGCCCTCCGACGACCTTTTTAACTTTGGAACATCGGACTTGATACTTCCGATCTACCCTATGAAATCGCCGCTTGGCCTCGGTCCATCGCCTGCCTTGAGTGCCAATAAATCAGGATCTGCGAAGTATTCGGCTTGTGAGCTATTCGGATCGCTTGACGCCATAGCACACCCCACATTCCCTACTTTTCGGGCGAGAGGCTAGACCGACTTGCAGAGGTGGAGACGTTGGAAACTCTCATCTCATACCCCATGTTGTATGTGGAATAGCGACAGTATTGTGGGAGTCGTTGAGACCCGATTTTCTCTGCGAGAATCAGTCAACTTCCTAGGGTTTTGCGACAAAGTGTCCAAATTCCAATCTTATGTTTCGATATGCCTATGGTCTCAATCCACCACCTAATCCTTCACGTCATTTGGTAATATCCAATACCTTTCCCTGGAGTACTAAATAGTTTCTAGCTTGATACTGGACTTCCGTTTTTTTCAACAAACATTTACTCCGATATATTTCCCTCTCACTTCGAGCTAAAACTCTGAGCACCTCTATTACTGGGCTATATGTGGCCATCATAATTTTCATCTAATCCGGATCAACTGCATTTGATTAAATGGGCAGAAGTATTACATTGTCTTCACTATTGTCACATCTGCGATGTTCCTCGTCGCGAAGTTCCTTTGCCCCGAGGTGAGATATTCAAATCCGAATTTGGGAGTCAAGTAGCTTGACGCTATTTATCGAAGCACTGTACTGACATGGGCTACTCCATCAGAAATGGGGTATCCCACTCGAAGACATAGCGCAGGTATTGGGGGTGAATTGTCGTTCATCGAAACTGAGTGATGACCGCTGTGAAAGGCTTCAGACAGTACATTCCTGATTTGGTATTCATCGAAGGTATCTATCACCATTCAGGCGGCAAACTGCGGGCCGGGGCGAGCGAGGAGGCCGATACATGGCAATCATATGGGTGGCATTTGAGTTCATGGTCGTGTGTGCGGGTAAAAAAGGGGTGCTGGAAATAATAGAATAAGCGTTTCTCGTAAACATGTTAGGGAATTGTTTCAATTTGAAGGTGTTTTACCATAGCCGTCCAGTGCATACTGCCAGTCAGCGCTGTCAAAAGGATCAAAGTCATAGGGGATATTGTTGCGAGAGGATGTAGTTTCAGAGCCATGGACATTGTCGCCTGCTTCAGTAATGGGCTGTTGGGGGTTTGTTTTCAGATACTTTGTGGGGGCTTGTCCCGTGGAGAAGCGCGAGGTTCTGCGCCGCTTAGGGTACCGAGAGTTTCCAGCGATCAAGCGTGCCTTCCAGTCTCGCTTTATTGTGAGCAATAAGTCGAGTGATCGAGATGCGTTTTCGTAGTACTCTCCAAGCTTTGCGAGAGCTTGGGAGCACACATCCAGATGGGTTGAAAGTGCTTCGCGGTCATGGGACTGAGTAGGAGAGATGCTCGCAAAGACAAGGAATAGTGCAGCAGAAAATATGATGCTCACAGCCTGTATGTTGATACAATGCAGAGTGTAGTTCTTTTCGTAAAGGCGGATAAGTTTGGAGATGGCGAATGCTGCCTCGAGACATGCGGACCGTGACATTTGGGGATCGTTTCCTTGCGATGGTACAGGCACACTTAGTTCTTCCGATATAAATGGCCGGTGTATGAATATCATTATTTGATAATATTGCATGCTTCAAGGAGTGGGGAAGTCGTCAGTAATCTATTCTCTTTTGGGCCAGTTCGTACTCACTGCATAACAATCAGATGGGCCGAGGGACGGGTAGACAGATCGTCGATTTCGACTGCAAGGTTTGAGGGCAAGTTGAGTTTCCATTGAATGAGATCATCCATAGTCTTTCTTGCCACCTGAAAGAGATCTTCCGTCGAGGCGGCAGTGCATCCATACCTGAAAGGTGAATCGCGTAAGCCATATCTCGCGAAATAGGGGGAGGGTGAGCCCACATGACGTTGCCGAGCGCATCCATGCTTTCAGTAAGGGAAACCCATTGTGGTGAAATCAGGTCAGCTTCGTCGCCAAGACTTGGGCTTGCCCAACCATCGGCAGGCGGAGAGCCTAGCGCAGCATCTGTAGATGCCGATGCTTGATGAGAATACAGGTTGGCGCTTGGTTTGCGGACAGTAATGTTGCCACTGTTCGTGTGAAATGGACGACCCAAATAGAAGCCCCACAGGCTAGATATTTAGTCAGAATCTCGGAATGGAGGTTTTATTTCCTTGAAGAACATTCAATCACAGGACATACTGATCGACAACGTAGCAGCCCCAAAATGCCGTACATCGGGCCCTGGCTTCTGACGCAGTCATTTGGCCCTGGGAAACGTACGGCCCCATGTCCACGTGGAGGCCCAAGTCAAAGGATAGCCGCATAGCCATTCCTGTGTATATCATCAGCTAGTTGATACTTGCGACGCTCAAAGAACTTCTTTGCTTTACCTACCACAATACAGCCACCCACGGGCATCCTTTGTGGCGGCTGCCTCAAGACTGCTGAGAATCACCAATGCTTGGGCTGTAGCTACCTTGGGCGCATCTAGCTCTATATCCAGAAGAATCCTCGCATTACTCGCGCATGCCTGGGCAAGTTGAGTCGCACTCTTGCGTGGTTGATGGAATAGAGCTCCGAATGCACATCTAAGAATTGAACAGTTAGTCATTGAGACATCACGAATTCACCTCCGAGGGTATGGCTTACATAGCATTTGTTAAAAGGGATGAATAGAAAGTTGAAGGCTGCTGGCTTGCCTTCCAAGCCCTTTTCCCCTCCTCGTACATTTCTCGGTCCACGACATGGTAACACGGATTCTGCCATGAGAAATACAGGTTTTCAAGTAGAAGCTCAAGCTGGGGATCAAGGGGCTCGCGCAATACCGCCGGCTGCCAGGTCGCTTGGCTCGTAGATGGAATGTTTGCATAAGTGTCGTTAGAGAACCTGTGTTTTGCCAAGTTTAAATTGGATGTGGCGCCATAGAATCGCCATTGGCCATCTTCCATCAAATGAAGATGGCCCATTCGATTAGACAACTGGCTGATCACGTCTTCATCTTCAGAAAGCTCATCGTCTTCACTCCCTCGTAAATGGTCGGAATGCGTCTGTCCATTCCCAGATGCTGAGTGGACATTATAGAACGAATGATGGAACATTGGGTACCCCTGTTCCGTGGTAGTTGTGACGATTGGGACATCCCCTGCGTAGTCGCAGCCCGGTTCCAGGCCGTTAAATTGAAGATCACTGATATCGCCGAGGAAGGGTAGATCCGGAGAGGAATTTCCAATCAATTCTTTCTGCTGCAGTTGGACGGGATCCTGATCCTGGGCCGAGTGGCCAGTTGGATCTCCGCCACTGATCAACTGAGAACCATACTCGGTGATAGTAACAGGGTCAGGCGGCGTAGGAAATTCTGTGAGCTGGCCAGCCGCAGGGTACCCATGGCCCGATTCACCGTGGGTCTCGTCTAATACGCAACTAGCGGGAAGAGGGAAGGTGTCTCGCCCGCCCATCACCTTGTCGAATATCTCGCGATCATCGGGCCTGACCGTGGGTGCAACCAGGCCATGGCCAGCAACGAACGATTCCAATTGCTTTGCACGCCTAACAAAAACTTCCAGGGCTTTTTTGACGGGTATTCTGTCGGATCAGGGGGTTAAGCTCAAAGCCGAGGCTGTTCAAGAAGGAAGGACGTGCATACCGTCTCTTATCATCATCGGACGGGTAGATGCAGACCCGTCCCTTCAGGTTGCAGCGTTTACATTTAGGAAGCTTCCCATCACACTGGCACATATGAGCGGCCGGTCCATTGAGGTCCCATCGTACGAGAGAGCGATCACAACTTACCTTCAACTTGCTGCTTCGACACTGCGTGCAAGCTGTTGAGACATTGTGTCTAGCCAGGGGCGGCATTTTCACCCTAGTTGCTGTGGTGCTATTTGTACTAAATACTATAGGGGGGAGTGACAGGGTTTACGGCCAGTTCTACCAGGCGTCTAGTTGTGTCGGGAGTCCACGTGATCGTGACCTTTGGAAGCGGGGGTGGGAAGTTGCCGAAACCCGCCTAAACCCCTTGGGACCCGAGCCAAGACCCAAACGGGAACTGTATAACCCCGACACTCTCAGCTCATCACTAATCGGTGCAAAATTTATAGAGCAACTTCGTCGGCAAGCTTTATCAATTAAATCTTTACTTTGTATAAGATCTCGGAACACACTAAGCCCGTTAGATCGCGTGTTAAACCAACTTATTAAACGTTGCTAGCTTATAATATATAAGTTAACGCTTTATTATACTAGCGGAAGAAAATAAGGAGTTAGACGCCGCCAACGAGAAGAAGGAGAAGATGAAGAAGAAGTAGAAGCGGTCTCGATCTACTAGACTGATAGACTACGAAGGGGATCTCTTGGTTTAGGAAGTTCGTATGGCACTTTCTACGGTAATGGCAAGGAGCTTGTGTTCGATTCGAAGCTCCATGAAAAGGGTCTAAATATTTCTACATTATTTCCTCCGCTATGAACGCCATGAATTTCCGAAATTTGCGAATAATTATGAATCGAATACAAATATAGCCGCACCCATCCAGATAGTCGAATACCAATGATGCTTCAAAGAAAAGTTACGAATACGAACGAGGAAAATTCTTATTCGTGTGCATCTCTATTAAGAATAAATGATAGTATAACGAATGCGCTTCACCAACTGATACCGATCACTCTGCAATTTTCAGAACCACACGTCCCGCGATGTCCCCCTTCTCCATCTCCTCGTATACCTGCGGTAGCTCCCTGAACGGTCGAACTTGTATGACCGGCTTTACGACACCCCGCCGCACCAAGTCAACAGCCTCCATGCATTCCTTCAGTGAACCAACTAAATTGCCAGTAATTCGCAGCCCTTTGAGCACAATCGTGCAGATCGGTGTCTCAAGGGATGGACGACCCGAAGGAATACCTACGCAGCTTAGACTGCCTCCCACCCGCAACATGTCGCAAGCATGGGCAAAGGCCTTTGCGCTACCGGCAGTCACAACAACAGCATGCGCCCCTAGACCGGTGAGCTCTTGTACCCTCTTGACAGGATCTTCGGTAGCAAAATCAATGAATTCCTTTGCCCCGACGCCTAGAACAAATTCCTTTTTGCCAGGACCGGTGTCCACGCCGATAACTAGAGCCCCTTGTGCCTTCGCATACTGTACTATCAGACTGTTAGTTCACTGAGCCGTATTACACCCTTGAATCCCCGAGAGAGATCGTACCTGCCAGATGTCCCAGACCGCCTCCGGCGCCGACAACCACCAACCAGCTTCCTGGACGAATATCCACATTCAAAACAGCCTATCCCTTCATCAGCAGCAGCCTAATGGCATTTTATTCCTTTTTTTTATTTGACATACCTTGTAAGCGGTTAATCCTGCGCAAAGCACTGGGCCCATTATCATTGGATCCACGTCATCCGGCAACACAGTTAGATAATCCGCATCTAACGCAATGTACTCTTGAAAGCTTCCATCCTCGTGATGCAAATGATTCGTGCCCTGTACGCAGTACTGTTCTGTGCCCGCAAGACAGAACTCGCAACGTCGGCAAATGCGACTTGAGAACCGGATCCCAACAAGCCCGTCAACCTTGAGGCCGGTGCCGTGCGTGATGTCCGGACCGAGGGCTACAATTCGACCGATGCCTTCGTGTCCGCCAACGTGTGGAAACTTGATATTTGTGATTGGATTGCCATCTGGGCCGGCTGCGGTGCCAGCTCTGGTATGGAAGTCTTTTGGTGCTCATCGTTAGGTGCGGGTTCATGGGCCATGTTCGTGGCTATTTTTCTCCTTGCAAATTCGAACTTGCACGTACCACTGTGACAGACACCGGTGTATAGCACCTTCGCGAGGACTTCATTGCTTTTTGGGACAGGAACTGGATAGTCTGCGAACTCGACCTTGCCACCAATATTGCGCACGAGTGCAACGGTTTGTCTTTGGGGGATGTCTATTGATCCCATTGTGATGTTGGGCAAGGGTGGAGAGATTTATCGGAGACCCTTTTTGATAGGATACATGGCGAAGGATGGGAGGAGTCTCAGTCCCTTTATATTCATGACTATACGCCACAGACTGTGTATTTGCATCAAGGGAACTCCTAGTCCCTAATTGAGTACTAGGTGCAACGGAAAAAAAAAAGAAAGGAGAACAAGAAGGCCAATCAGCCTCAGAATACAAAATGAGTTCAACATAATTTACCGGAATCGCTGAGCCGAAAGCCCATCTATGGGTTAAGTAATGAAGCCACATTTCTCGGAGGCACTTCTCCGATAAGACTTTTGTGGGGAAGTGGACCATCGGACCTGGAATGTGGCACCCCTTTGCCCTTCACTAATCTTTCCCCTTGATCTCGCTCTCAATAGTAGCGAAGGGATATAATTTAGTGATACACAATAATATAGGGAATGAATACTGGAAGTAAAAGCTATCGTAGGCATCCCTCCTTTAATTACATAGCCATCGACTATATAGCTATTTCCCCAAGTATATTCCCGTAAGTTGCTGAGAATACCGGTGCGACAACGAGGATGAATTGTTGAAGAACTAGGCTCGATAAATGACTTAACTAAATGTTATTCTTTCTGAAAAGGTCGCCCGGAACATCTTTCTATAGGCTGCCGGAGAACAAATTTTACCTGCAAAGTACGAGTAAACCTCTTCTCATGTTTCTCTACCTCTGGTTCATGCGAGAATTTGGTGTCAACGGCAGTGGAAGGTGATTGTCCATGACGGACCTCGGGATGGGTAACGACCTGATGAGGTCGGCCCCCATTTCTCGGGCCGATATTTAACATGTCACCAAGAAGGGTTCTCTAGAGAATCATATTATACCTAGGTAGGTCTAACCTCCTAATTAAGTGGGTAGGGACGCTATCCTATAAAATAGCTACATATCGGTTCTTAGACGGATAATGCCTTCATCTCTCAATTCCCCCTCAAAAAATCGGAAATGCACTCCTGTCAACAACACGAAGTTATTTGGTCTCAGGCTTCCCATCGACGCCCTTGAGAAATCCCCCTGTATGACGACGAAGAATGGCAGATGCAGTGCCGATCAGTAGCCAGCTTGATGGGTGTAAAAATAGGCCTTTCGTACACTGTAATTCCTTTCCTTCAAATAAGCTCGTCTGCGAATCGATGCATCTTGCACCCTTTTACCTGGTTAGTACCCTACGTAATCGACGGGCTTTCCCCCCTGCGCGGTAGGTACATAACAAGTTTGAGCCGAAAGAGGCATGGGCTCGCACGAGGATACACCCGATCATGAGCGGAAATCACAATTCCGGCCCTGAATGCACGACCTTACTAGGGAGTCACCAATGATCATCGTTAGACCCTTACCCTCTGGTTTTAAAGTTTCGGAAATCTCTACGGATCATGCCAGCGTGCAATGTCAAACAGTTCCGTACGGGGTCACGGAAGCCTGAGTGGCGCCCCACTGGTGGAGCCTAGGTACGCCGAAACAGGCTTCCTATATTCCAAGGTTAAACTATAAGGATTTACGTCGCAAAGAAGCACATTGACCCCCGCATCTGTGGCATGAATTTGTTGGACTCAAAATCGCCTAGCTACGATACCCCAGGATGTGGGCAAAGAGCTGATTCGCCCAACCGGTTTTGCTACTTTCGTACCGGATTTACCAATTGCACTAGGAGAACTCCACAACGCATTGCTTTATAGCGCTGTCAATTATTGGGGTGCAGCAGCCGGATATATGCTACGTACCCAGGCACTGTCAAAGCAGAATATTTAAACGCTTTCCCCAGACATCTAGGTTAAGAAAATCCTCTTCGCAATCCTCCTGGATTACGCCCACTTGTATTTATCCTTCTTTCAGAAACAGCAGTTTACCTCTTGATAGGCTGAATGCCCAGTATCGATATGCCTCTCCGTGGAAAGAGGTTGACGGCCGGCGTGACCGCTGCTTGCGGTCTGGGTTTTCTTCTGTAGGTCGAAAGCCCCCTTTCCCATCGTCTCTCGCACGTGTACGAATGTGCTCCTTTTGACGATTCCCACGATACTTATCACCGTCTTACAGCTTTGGATACGACCAAGGTGTCATGGGAGGAGTCATCGGCTCTAGTACATTTGTGAAGCAGTTCAATCATCCTGATGTGAGTTATACGAACTCGGTCAGATTCACTGGTTGTGGAGCGTACGTGAATTGACCGTTCAAATAGGCCCTCACCCAAGGCCTGATCACCGGATTGTACGACCTGGGCTGCTTGATTGGGTCTATAGCAGCGTTCTTCTTTTCCGAGCCTATTGGGCGGAAGAAATCCATCGTGAGTTATCTGCATCAATACTGCCATTGATTTCTTGTATTAAAGTATTAGTGTGCCGGGTCATTGGTTGTTTGTCTGGGGACGATTCTTCAGGTGACAGCATATTCAGTCCGGCATCTGATAACGGGTAGGATTGTCACGGGGATTGGGATTGGCGTAAACACTTCCATCATTCCTACAGTATGTTCTCACGTCAGAAAGACTTCTACACAGGCATGGACCCCCTTTCTGACTGACACTATAGTGGCAATCTGAGGTTAGTTCGGCTCAACATCGAGGACAGCTTGTCACCATAGAAGCTGCTTTGATCATTTGTGGACTCGCCATGTCAAACTGGGTTTGTTTTGGGGCATCATATATCGCCTCATCCTTTCAGTGGAGAGGCCCCATTGCTGTACAGTGCATATTCGCACTATACCTACTCATTACGGTTCCGTTCTTAGTGGAAAGCCCGCGCTGGCTTGCCAATCACAAGAGTATCGCCGAGGCGACGAAAGTCATCGCTCAGCTCAAGGACCTACCGGAGGACGACCCAGAGGTCACATCAATTACCCGAGAGATTGAAGTGGCTTTGGAAGAAGAAAGCTCTGCCGATGCGTGGCATAAGATCTTCACGAATGGCGGCGAGCAGAATTTCCGACGGATGATGCTTGGTGTCGGTGGGCTGTAAGTCAAATACATCGTGCCCTATGTTTACCCACTGCTAACTTTAAATACAGATATATGCAGCAGATGTGTGGTATCAAGTTCGTAGCTCCCGCGCTTTGAATTCTTATTGTGAGATACATTGACCTAAACCATCTGAATATAGCTCCATTGGCTACTACCTCCCTGTCATACTCGAGCAGTACATCGGCCTTAGCAACTCCCTTTCCCTTATTCTCTCTGCAGTCGCCGCCACTCAATTCTTCGTCATCTCCTTTGCTCCTGTCTGGTTTATCGAGAAAGCAGGGCGTCGCAACTGCATGATCTGGGGAGGTACGGCACTTGCGATGTCAGAACTTGGAAAATTGCTGACGAGGCTGGTCTTGCAGCTGTCGCACAAGCCATTATTATGGCTCTTTTGTGTGTTGGATTTGCACTGGACACAAAGCCAGCGCTTGCCATGATGGTAGCAATGTTTTTCCTATTCGACGATGCCTTTGCACTTAGGTACATTTCCTTCCCCCATAGTCACCCGTCAGGGACGATTACTCACTCATATAGCTTCCTAAACGTGCCATGGATGTACGCCCCGGAGATAAACTCGCTGAAAATGAGAACGAAAGGTGGAGCTGCTGCTGCTGCGTCCAACTGGCTCTGTGAGCAGATTCCCTCCAACCCCTGAAAGTAAACTCTAATCATGCGTACAGTCAATGGGATTGTCGTAACAGTTACACCAATAGGATTGGATAAGCTTAGATGGAAATACTATCTTATTTGTGAGTTCTCTGGAAAGCTACGTTTTCAATTTGCTCGATTGACCATGATCTCATATAGTTGTTGTGTTAAATATCTCATTTATACCCCTGGTATATTTCTGCTACCCAGAGACAAAAGGCATCACGCTCGAGCAGATTGATCGCATCTTTGTCGGAAAAGGAACTGGCCTTGGTGCTCTCACTCAAGGGGTGAAGGAGAGCCTCCACCTGAAGAGGGATATTGATCAGCATGAACTCAATTCTGACGAAGAGTCAGGAATCAAGGATGATGGTGACAATGATGCCCATGGGGAGCATATTGAAATCGCGAAGGCGTAAGGAAGCTATTAAGCACCGTCAACGCAGGTCGCTTAAACAACACTGTTCCCGCATCATAAGCATTATTTGAGATATCTTCCAACATGTTATGGACAGTTACGGTATGGGACTTACCAAAGTCCATTATTGTGCTAAATAGCTATCGCATTCCAAATCTTGGAACGTTTGATCTTCCTTCGGCTCTCATTATAAAATATTCCCGATCTCATGACGAATATCCATAAATTTGAACATTTAGGTTGAGTACTAATGGTCGTGCACATGAGTATATGTACATCTAAGGCTGGATAGACGAATAGGCTACACTCTGGGTATAAAACTATGACCATTCAACCTATTAAAATCATGCCTTTATATAGGCAGCATCTAGCAAACAAGCTGGCAAACAAGCCTGCATAATCAGGAATCCCTGGAGATAGGATCATCCTCAACGGCTACTTCGGTACTGCCCTACTACAAATGCATTTTTCTCATGTCGGAACAAACAAGTTGCTACTTGCAGCGGTCAGGTCCAACGGACGAGCGACTATTGCGAGTGGGGGAGTTAGTGGCCAAGCAAGTATATGGCTTTGAGCTAAATGCAACAATTAATAGCTCGTTGGTAGTTCAAGGATGTAAAATCACATACCTTTTTAAAGACCATTCATATTACCCCTTGTAAACTATCAAATGTAAATCATTGGGCATCTTCGCCATAATATACCTTCTTGCTACTTTTTGGAAGGATTCAAGGTGGAGTACCAGGAGCAAAGAAGCAACCAACGTACACGGAAATGTCTATATGGGGTTGGCTAGCAATCAGTGTGATTGTTGTATCTACTGCAAGATGGCTAATGTAGTAGTAGGAGCCCTCTCAGGTTACCTCGCTTGACCCCTTTTTATTACATATCATCACCCAAGCGACAAATACTGGAAGAGTCTTAGCTTAAAGTGTTTGGCAGAAAGAAGGTCCAGCAATCATCTTTTTCCTTTTGAGGTGGGTGGAAGCGGAGTGCTTTTCTCTCGAGGTTCCAATACATGTATGCCAGGCATTCTGATATTTGCTTATTCCCAATCAACCCATGTCAAGACCTAAATACCTAGGTATTAGGATATATAGCGCACGGAAGGAAACAAAGGCTGACGGGTCAAAGCTGCTGCCAGCCAAAGGTGCGTGCATTGGCTTTCCCAACCTGCTTCAAGTATCCGAGGCATTTATCCACGATGCCCTCAGAATCCAGCCCAAACCGCCGGTAGTTGCTCTTGTTTGAAGCCGAGTAGCCATAAGTGCTCATGCCAATGCTTGCTGTGGCATAGCGCGCCCATACAGTCGGCACATATTCTTCGATGCTGACAATTGGCTTACCGTCGATAGGAAACACCGATCTCTGATACTCAGTATCTTTCAAGGCAAAGATATCCAAGCTGGGCGCGCTAACGACTCGAGCTGGGAAGCCTCTATCCCCTAGGATTTTGGCTGCAGCAAGAGTATAATGCAAATTTGATCCACAGCTAGCGAGGGTGATGCATGCGTTTTCGTGTTCTTGAATAACATAGCATCCGTTGGAGACCTTGTGTCTGTTCGTGTTCGAAATGGGTCCAGTAGGATCACGAGCAACGGATATCATGGTCGAGCTGTGGGAGTTCGTGATTGCATACTGCCATGCTCCTATAACCTCCTCTGCATCGCTTGGACGAATATATGTAAGATTGGGCATGGCTCGATATAGTGAATCGAGCTCAACGGGCTGATGTGTGGGCCCATTTTGACCCTCAGCTGGAGTCCCGTTGTCAGCGATGGCAAGGTATCTTCTAGGGGGGAATCACACACCGAAAGAGTCATGAGTAGCGCAGTGAATTACCTGAAGCCCGGAAAGGGCACCCATGCGAACTCCAGGTGCTGCCTTTCCAGTTGTCAGTATCCATCAACGCCAGATAACACCCCTCGTAGCGACTTACATATATGTAAAACATGAGAAACGTGGCAGTCACGGGTATGAATGCTCCGGGAGAGAATCCAGCAAGCCCATTCGATATCGCACACATGGCATGTTCTCGGATACCATAGCGAATATATCTTCCCTGGAACCCTGTAGCGGGGTGGAAAACATCTTTATCTTTGTACCTCACCTTGTTGGAGTTGACCAGGTCTGCTCCACCACCAAATATTGCAGGGCACAGTTCCCACAATTTCTCAAGGATAATTCCATTCGTCTCTCGCGTCGCCAGACCCCGAAGGCTGACACTGTCCAAGGTTGACAGTGTTTCCAAGACCGATCTGTCAAGCTCTCCACCCATCCGACGCAGAGCTTGCTTCGCCTCGTCAGGGAATGAAGACGTATATTCCACCAACATTTCATTCCATTCACGCTGCAGCATCTCCCCATGGTCTTTGCGCTCGCGGAAGAATTTCAGTATAGAGTCGGGTACAGTGTGTGAACTCTGGGGCTCGAGACCGATAAGGCGCTTTGATGTTTCAATGCTGGCTTTATCAAACAAGCCGTGGTGAGCTTTTGCGGTCCCGGCAACAAGTGTTCCAACTCCAATCACAGTGCGAATATTGATGAAGACAGGCTTGTCGGACACAAGTTTCGCCTGTGCGAGAGCTGCAACGATTCCCTGAACGTTATGTGCACCGTCCATCACATCAATGGTATACCAACCGCAAGCCCGCATTTTTTCATTGATATCTTCGGAGTTGATCCAGTCGAGAGGGCCATCACATGTCACTGAGTTGTTATCGTAGGTGACGATGAGGTTGTTTAATTTCAAGTGACCCGCGAGGGAAATCGCTAAGAAGGGGTGAGCTCGAGCTTTGAAACAAGAAAATGAAAAGTCAATGGTGTAGAACTGGGAACGATACCTTCTAACGCGACGCCCTCCATGAGACAACCATCTCCCGTCATACAGTAAACCCTAGAGGCAAATAGAGGGAATTTATCCTTGTTGAAGCGAGCCCCAAGATTCTTGGAAGCTATAGCAAGGCCAACTGCATTGGCGATCCCCTGACCTAAAGGACCAGTCGTCATCTCTATACCCGGGACTTCGCGTTCTGGGTGCCCGTGGCTAATTGTGGTGAAGCCATTTTCCTTTGGTGCACCATAGCCTTTTAGCTCATCCATGGTCCAGTCATCGAATCCAGTGAGATAGTTCATGATGTACAAGAACATGCTCGCGTGCCCTATAAAGCAATATAAGTAATCAGCAATGGACTAAGACATCGTCCAAAATTTTGAAGGAATGGGGCTTTCATCATATACCATTTGATAAAACGAATCTATCGCGATCAATCCAGCCGGGTTTCGAGGGGTTATAACGCATAGTGTATTTCCATAGCGCAACACCGATTGCGGCCATACCGAGGGCTGATCCCCCATGACCCCCGCCATTTTGATGTGTGAGGTCAAAAACCAGACTACGTACCGTGATCACAGCTTTTTCATCCTCTGTGAGGTTTTGCTTATCGCTGGCCAAGCTTTGGCATAGACCAGTCTTGTTTGTTTCCTCCAAAGAGGAGTTCGGCTCCGTGGGAGCATCAGCAACCCCGTATTCAACCATCGTGGAACGTCGGGGATGGTGGTAAATCACGGAAGTTACCAGCAGTGATCTTGGATCTAAATTCTGTCTAGGCGAGCCACGGACCCTTATATTTCTGTTCAATTTCAAGTGCTCGGCTAGCTAAATCCGGAATTTGCCATCCACATAAGAGATCTTTTACCCATTTGCCGAATTTGGTTGTCTTCTTTGCTCTGCTGTTGTCGAACTGGGAAATACGGAAGAATAGCTCCGACCTGGACCCACCCGGAAATGGATCACGCCAATACTCCCCACACCCTGGAGTTTACTGGCAAGAACTTGGAAACTACCTAGGCAAGTCTAAAAGTCTATTCAAGTCTCGGAAGAGCCTGACCGAGTGCCACGGTTTTTACTAAGAACAAAATGTTCGGGGATGACTTCAGTTAAAATACACTTTATTTCTTTACTTCGGGATGTTTACCTCCCTATTCAATTTGCAGCGAGGGTTCTCCGGGTAAACTGAGCTCAATATTTGGTACTTGTTATTTTCGGCCATAGGTTTTGGAATAGCAGGTATAAAGCAGCATTTATAGGCAATATTACAATAAAAGTATCTACGAACCATGGCAAAACTTGGACGCCGCCGATCTAGTTCCGAGCGATAAGTAGTCCTTTCACTGTCCCATTTTTTCAGTGACTCATGTTCGTAGTTCATGGATCCGGTCCTATAAATCTACAAGAGGAGAGATGATCAACAGTATAAATGATTATGAATAGACACTGATAATATATCTCTAACTGCTGCCATGAAGTTCTCATCAATATAGATTCATGGGAGAAAGGAAACAAAGGCACCAAACTAGAAAGATCTAGCAAAAGGATATCAAATAGTAAAGGAAGATCTGCCACAAACTGCATTCATAATAGTTACTAGAACAAACATTTAGTTAATGTACAAGGTAACCCCCATCCATCGTTAAAGCAGACCCATGGACAAAATTACTTCTGCTGCAGAGGAGCCACACAATGCCCTCTGCAATTTCCTGAGGTAGCCCGAAGCGCTTCATCGGAGTCCAGTTGTTGACCTTGTCGAGAGCATTGTTCCTCATCTCACCGGGAGCATCGACCAACGGAGTTTTAATGTATCCCGGGATAATGGCGTTGATCTTCACGGAGGGATAATCTAGAGCCGCAGTTCGTGTAATGCCTAGAACGCCATGCTTGGAAGCAGTGTAGGCCCCAGAATGTCGGAGACCAGCAGCTGCAGCCAAAGAGGCGATGTTAACGATTGCCCCCGACTGGAGGGGCTGATAAGCCCTGTACATGATCATTAGTAGTTGTTCACCCATCTCTGGTGTAAAGTTGTGCTTACCTTTGGCTTTCAATGGGCTCTTGCTTGAGCATCGCTTGAGTCTCTGCTTTGACGCAGGCGAATACTCCAGTCAGGTTCACAGCAATCATTTTGTTCCAGTCGTCCATTGTTGTATCGTTCAAGGCCTTCTTCAACCCGATCCCTGCACAGTTCACGGCGTAGTCCAGTCGGTCGAAAGTTCGAACAACTGTTTCAATCATTGAATTCACAGACTGCTCATTCTGAACGTCCAAGGGGATAGTGATGCAGTTGAATTTGGGGTTAGATGCAACCTTGAAACACTCTTCCTTCACGCCATCAGCAGCTGCAGGGCTCAGATCTGCGATGGCGAGTCCGCGCACTCCTTCTTCCGCGAGAAGAATGCATGTCGCTTTGCCAATTCCTGAGGCCCCTCCTGTTACGAGAGCTACCCCAGGAATATCCATCCCACGTTGACTAGACATGTCGCCACTATCGGTATGATCACGGCCGTGTTAATGACTCAATATTGAAATCGGCAGATAGAAGCTTGATGTGAAAGATCTTATAGTCCGTTCTAATCACCTTCTGGGCGGGCAAAGTCATCACCCGGAGCATCAGAGACCCTTTGATCGGAATTGAGGGTCCGCCTATTTCCGCATCTAGTAATTCCATTCACAATATATACACCACCGAAGTTTTCGTACTCTCTCGGGCAGAATAGGCCGAAAATAGGATCGGAATTACCAGTTCGGTTCTTATTTGAAGAAAAGAATTACCTCTTGGGTAATCATGTCTCGTGCCGTGGTAAGGCAGCAAATCGATTCTCCGGAGGGTGGCTGGCATTATTGGCTCCCAGTGAGGAGATTTTGTACAGTTGACTTCCCCACACATTTACTCTTAGTGCACCCTAGTGGTAATGGCTTTTATGAAAAATAGGCATTTAAGAGAAAGGCGAGAGAGGAATGCAACAGGATTGGCCAGCGACGCCATGACATAAAAAGAGCCAGTAAAACCGAACTTGGCACTGCCTTTAGTGTGTGTATTAGTGCTGACCTTTTTTGGGGGGCGAGATAATGATTGAAGAGCTCATGCCAAATCACTATGTAGATCGTATTGTTAGCAGCCACCAATTGTAGAGTTATCCACTTCAGGATCTGCAGCCCAGACTGCACGGCTTGACTCCATATTTAAGCCCTCAACGGGTGAAGCCAGTAAAATCACTCAGTACAAAGTGTGCACTTCATGTTTCTTCGGCATAATCCGTCTCCCCTTCCCGCACGTCGTTATGCAACGCCCGCAATATGTAATTACACGCACGAAATTGTGGGATTAGCTGTGGGCAATCGGTATCAGGGAGATAGATTACAACAAGATCGTCTCCCACCCGCAGGCCACCCGCTACATGATCAAGTTTATGCACCAAACATGTCTCCGCGCGCAATTTCAACATGCGGGAGTCGACGACGATGATGAACCGACAGGCCTTGCGTCCATGGACCTAGGTGTGGAAGACGATGGATGTTAGCTAATGACGACAAATGATGCCTCAGCCAGAGTCGACGAGCATGCCCAACTGGCCAGGAGAACAACATCAATTGAAACTGAGGCAGGGAGAGGATGCAGAAATACATTGCAATAAAAATGTTCATAATTGCTCGCAGCGATATCTCAAAATATATTCAGCGATAGTAATTATCCGACCAGGTGTCGGTACCAGCATGTAGCACCAACACACTACCGTAACCACTCCATGTACGAAAATTACATCTAACATTGTCTGTTCATCCGAAGGACTCAACTGTAACAAGGAACAGGAAATCTATCTCACCGTCGGATAGGTGTAATACTTGTTGATACCGCATGGACAGGTTGGGTTATATACCAAATTTCCAGAGAGCCCTGCTTATTCCTTCAGGACTTCCTTCGTTGGGAAATCGTCGACGTCCCAGATCTGATTCTCCTTTCTGATCGAGCCCGGACAGGAGATTTCACAGTCTGCCCTCAGCAGTATCACACTATCTTTCTCGATCAAGATGATGTTTTCCAGCCTGACTTCTTTCGCAACGTTGTATTCTACAGGAGCATGAAGGACGACCTTGTTATTGGAGCCGGTGTTACTGAAGAGCTGTATAATTGGGGCATGCAGATATGTCGAAAAGAATTGCAGATCTGAAGATCTGAAGATTGAACCGGGCTGTATGTGTCTGCAAATGGAAGACCTGGCAGCCATGGAGGGTTTACAACCATTTCAAGGATAAGCTTGAGTACTACTGTTCTTCACAAGATGGACAAATAATGAGCTCAGCATGCAAACTCCAGGACTGTGACGCTGTGGGCTTGATAGAACCTAAATGTCTGCCCCAGTTGTCCATCGAACCGCAGCCTCGACCATCCGCTTGACTAGGTTAACCTCCTCGAGGTCCCGTGGCGCATATACCATGATCTATGAGATCCCTCCTCATTAGCGTCCATTTTAGTAATAAGAACTATGCCAACTTTGAAAGAAACTGACCCATCCCGGGGGCACCGACGATGGATCCGCAAATCGACGGCCCCAACCCGCTTCTACAACGGCGCGAGCGTCAGCTGGAGAGAGTAGCATATGAAGTGAATTGTCCTCGGGATGGACATGGGCAATTTCGTAGCCGACTTTCTGCGCTTCGGGATTGCAGGCTGGAGATTCCGGACGCGCATAGATGGCGTCCGCGGTACTACCTTCAGCATTGGATAAGCTAAGACGGAGGGTGTCCGGGTATTGGGAATGTAACTGTTTCATCAAGCCGAAAAGGACCTTGTGGCTGCGTTAGGGTAGTTGAATTGCCTTATGGGGATTGCCTTTATCAACATACTTCTCGAGCCCGCGGCTCAATGGGCTCTGGAAACTGGCGCTGTGGCAGTGTTCTTGAATTTATGGTCAGGCATATATGATTATGCGGTAAGATTCCATTCCTCACCTAGGTCTGAGGGACGGATGCCCGCCTGGTCTGACCGTCAGAGACCTGAGGTACTGAGGCCCAGTCCGGGGCAATGTAGAAGGATCCCGCAAGTCATCTCCACAGAGGTAGTTAAAAGTCTGTAGGACACGTAATTTATTCATTTTTAGCCAACCGCTGATAGTGGATGGTGTTCCACCGGTTCCTAGAATTGAAGTTAGTTCAGGGCCGGCACTTATGGACCCATTGAGATCTTTCTCACCATAGTACAACCAGTCTCGATAGTCATAGACTGCCCACATAACCGTTGTCATGAGTATTGCTCCACAAGTCAATGTACTTGTATTATTTTGAAGGTTTGAAAAGAAGTCAATCCGTTTTGTGTTTGGAAACAGGCGGTGAATGAAGGTACTAGCCATAGCGACAATGTTTCGCAGAACTATCAGAGCCGACACAACCTAGATGAGCATCAGCCACCCTTCGCGGTTCATCAGCAAATTGGCGGGTGATACTTATAGAAAGAGCACTTACTGGGGGAACATGTAATGTAGCTTTACTCGAGCGTGACGTCACCAGGTCCGTGATCGTGTTTTGTAGCAAATGGCCGGTCACGGAATAATTCTCCTTTGAATGAAGCCAAACCTACCGAATCAAGATAAAATCAATGCCGTTGAAAAGATTCCGCCTGTTTGCGTCATAAATATAGCAATGTCAACAAGTAAAATATAAGACCAAGCCAAGAGGAGTCTAAAAAGTAAAAATCGAGGTTTCGGTCATTATGACGTTTCTTGATACATTTCTCTCTTTTTAAGCTTACCCTTTATCTCGTGGGGACTGGGCGATAAGGGTTGTGTATGTCCAATGCTTGCGTAAGGTCTTCACATATCCTCAACGCAGTGCTCCGGTCGGATTCTTTTGGAAAGAGAGCAAAAAGCTGCGCAAAATCTTCAGATTTAACCAATCTCAGAACCAATGGATCCTTCTATCAAACGTGAGCTATCGAAACTTAACCCAACAGTCCCGTTTCGAGCTTCATGCGACCATTTACATCACACATGGGCCAAAACCTTTTTTGCACGGCCAGAACTCTACATACAGCCCCGCACCATTAGCGAAATACAGCAAATAGTGGTGCTTGCTAGTCGATGTCGCCGTACCTTAATCACTGTGGGAAGTGGTCATTCGCCATCTGATCTCACCTGTACCTCGAGCTGGATCATCAACCTTGACGACTTCAATAGCATACTTGAAGTTGACAACAATCTTGTTAAAGTCCAAGCTGGCATTCGACTAAGAACCCTGGGAAGGGAGTTGGAACGGCATCATTTAACTTTGGCCAATCTAGGGAGCATCGACAGCCAGTCAATCGCTGGAGCGCTTGCAACAGGTACTCATGGTAGCTCCCTACAACATGGGCTGCTTTCTGAGTATGTTGAATCGCTAAGCTTGGTACTTCCTAATGGAGAACTGGTTTATTGTAGTGGCAATTCAAACCCGACATTGTTTCGGGCTGCCCTGCTATCTCTTGATGCCATAGGGGTCGTAGTGGAGATAACGCTGAGGGCCGAGAACGCATTCAACGTTGAATGGAGAAAATCAAAACAAAAGCTTTCGACAGCACTCTCAATCGGGTCATCCGGCTTATGGAATTCCCACGACTTCATTCGCGTTCTTTGGCTGCCATATGAGCGTAGTGCTATTATATGGCAAGCCGAAAAGACCTCTCGTCCGATGCTGAGGCAAGACAACCAAAGGGCTTCCTATATCGACCTGTGCTTTTATCATTCCTATCAGTTTGCCCTTGCTCTGGCAAATATTTTTCCTTTCATTCTCCCTTGGACTGAATGGGGTATTTCGGGACTTCAATATGGCTTTGGTGCCACTAGCAAGACCCTCACTGGCGTGAGTCCTGCCCGTGAAGGACTTATGATGGATCCTTCCTATCCACAGTTAGTGAATGAATGGGCATTGCCTCTTGAGAATGGCCCTGAAGCCATTTTACGCCTTTCTGCGTGGCTCCATGGGGACAATCAGACTGCGCAGATACCATTCAGCAGCAAAGGCGTTTGGGTGAATTGCGCTATCGAGGTTAGGGTGGTGAATACATCCATCGTCACAACCCCCAGGCCTCTCCTTGACCCTACATGCCATGACAGACCAACTCTTTATCTGAACGCAACACTTTATCGTCCGTATTTGCGTGATCCACCCTGCACAGACCAATATTACCAAGCCTTTGAGTACCTCATGCGGGAGCTGGGTGGGCGTCCGCACTGGGCGAAAAATTTCAGAACAGTCGCGTCATCTGAGCTCCATAAACTATACGGAAAAGACATGGATCAATGGGTGAAGATCCAAAAGGAAGTTGATCCCGAAGGCCTCTTTCTTAGCGAGTGGCATTACCGAAATCTCCCGGTAACTTCTGGTGTCAAGCGACCGAAAAGTGGGGAGTGAGAAAAGTTTCGGGCTTTTCTGACGATTTCTTGTACTAGTTCGAAAAGACGTGTATATTCCGGTCGAATATAGGATTTAAGCCGTGGTCACGCAGGCAGTTTGGGCAGCTAGGTATGAAAGTCTCCTATTGTGCCTTGATCTCGGCAATACTTGCAAGGCTTGTTGCTCATGCCGGTAGCTTGATAGCTATGGAGCTGCCTGAGGTTTATGTAGCATTTGTTCGACGCACGGGAGCCCACTCTTTCAACGAACGCGTGGACAAAACACGACCCGATCTCATCTGCGCCCTGGGCGATCGACATTACAGAGAAAAAAAAAGGTAATGTCGTCTGGTAGGAATGCTGCCATTGCCAAAACTCTATATAAATGTCCTTCACCGGTATTAGAAAATCTGCGGTGTGTAACTAATATTCGTCCTCAAAGCTTCGTAACAACATATGATACTATGAAACGGCAATACATGATAACTTTCATATCTGTCGATTCACAGATACCGAACATTAGCGAAACAATACCCATCTTCCTGTGATACGTGCCGCAAATTAGCCAAGCGAACAAATGTGAGTACGTATAAAAATGCGGTACTTTGCCCTATATAGTAATGTATGGACATTCTAAAGTTAAGCCCTGTATTTGTCCCCTGTGAATCCCCAAATGAGATGATGGATTCTCCGTCGCAGGGCTATCGTCCCACGTTCAAGCCCCATCCCCCAGGATGGGGGTGGAGTCTCTTCTGTTCTTAAGCCTTGCACAACAGATGTGTTACTACAATTGGAAATTCTTTAGCGGTTATATTGCCCTGTTAATGGACCACATTCTTGTCGATTGTTGCAAACCAGCGGTCACAGCCTCCTTGAACACATCTTACCTCCGATCGGTCCCACCGACAGCTACGGTACCTCTTCTTGCACGGCTGCATAGGGTTGAAGGTTGCAAAATTTACCTGAAAGGATCTCTTCAGATTTCAGGAGAGAATTCGCAAGAGGAGAGAATTCGCAAGATTGGGTAGACGCTATCAAAATAGAAGCCTTGTTTATGAGGCTAAAGAATTAGGTTAATGGCCACTGTCATTTATATCAACTCATGCATCCGCTTAGTGTGCTTATTTTGGCTTACTTAGGAAGTCATGAACTAAGCAACAAGGTACCTCCCAGAATCAGGGAACTCTTTATTTGTCTACCAGGTGAGGGTTAGCGTGCGTATTATCTTAGCGTGAGGTTCAGGGCATAGCCCATACAACTGTAATACGATGGCTATTTTTGTTCAGAGAGACTGGAAAACTTGATTGCTTATACAGGTTAATTGATATTGAACGTACCTAAAAGTAGGGAATGTAAATGATGTATAGGGACAGAGTGATGAATTGAGGGAAAGCTGAATTGGTAGTCAGAGTCTCAGGCCTACTGGACCAGGTCTTCTGGTGTTCGGCGCAGATATTTGAAATGTCAGCGAGAAGTGCAGCACTGTACAGAAAATCCCAAAAGAAATGTGGACAGGTGTGAGAGTGACCAGGGCCGGGGATGATCTCGCGCTCAATCCAGCCGCGTTTACCAGCTTGCTACATGCACATGTACACCGTATAAGTTAACCACTTTCACTCTTTCAGCGCATCGTGGCCCCAATTTTTGAGTGATCGGTAACTCCTGCTCTCCGTGTCCAGCTTTGCTCGCTCCTCCTGCGCTAGATGCCGCTTGCAGTAGGACACTACGCGATGCATGTGGTCGATATCCTGATTTCGGTACCCAGACGGCTTCTTCGTGGGATTGTGCTCGAGAATCTCCACGATCCGCCGACCGCTATCGATCCTGTTAGTGATGGCTTCACTGCTGAGATAGGCATCGGCCACCCAAAATCCACGGGACTAACCTCTCATGACCAACAGTCTCACCAAAGCCGCCTGTCCAGCCTGCTGACCGTGATGGCTCCCCTTGAAGCCAGTCTTGAAGCTCATTCGCGGTCATGTTGACGAGATCGTTGAACTCGCTGAGGACTTCGTCAGTCTCTTTCTATAAACTATACGTACGACAGAGCATACTTAATGACGGTTTCTCTGTCCTTCACCATTTTTTCAATTTATGCTTTGGTGCTGGAGAAAAAAAAGGAAAGTGAAAAGCTTGTATAGTGCATCATTCCCAAGTCTTCGGATGGGTGACGTGACGTCATTATTATGTTTGTATATGAATTTAGGTTGCCTTTGTTATTGAGATTATCTAAAATAGATGGAACAACGTTAAAAAATGGGAAAGATTTATTCATATCTTTTGCCAAATCGCTAAAAGTGCGCTCTAGATCCGATATCTCATCAATTACACCGAAATGCCAGCCTTTTACCAGCAACCCCTCGATGTGAGGTTGACTTATCATCATCTTGGTGGGCATCGAATAATGCGGATATTCATCTTTTAGCATTGAATTAGGGCTCAATCTTACTAAAAAGGCTGAATAGGCCCCGTTTTGACGACTTATCAAAAATCATTTTCATTAACTTAATATATGCTATAATGCACTTATCAACATCTACCTCCAATTGACCTAATATGATCATAATCAATCTATATCTATTAGCCATCCGATATTATAACACGAAATAAATCAACCCACCCCCCTATACTAGTGCCGCCTATAAGGTCAAACACCTCGTATGGCTTCTTTGCTAATGAACCCTCGGGACGTGCCTAGTTTAGTGGGGCAAGTACGGCGCCTTATTAGGTCGACGGCTGTGCCGCCAGTGACCAACGCACCTCGCCCCAGACACATCCCTTAGGGCCATTCTGCTCCACTCTTTCAAAGACGTCAGTTGATTCGTGCACATCCACGGCAGACCTGGCGTCATGCTTTGATAGCGGATGTACAACCTAAACCATGTTCTCTTAATGGCCATCCAATCCCACCTACTCATGTCACACTGGGTGCACATTTTCATCTTTCTTTCCTAAGAAGTCTTTCAATTTCTAAGCTGTGGTTCCTTCTGCCCGGTTTTTGGCCATGCAGCGAGTTTCAGCTAGCGAGGTCTCTGGCTCAGCAGGGTAAATTCTATCGGATGGTGTCAGACCGACCCGCCTTACACGTGTTCATGTCCAGCAAACGCCATATTGACGACTGTTTGGCAACGTGGTGTCTAGACTCGCAGCCTCGCGGCTTAATCCTACTCGCGATTCGGCGATGACCGCTCAGATCGCCAAGAGTGCTGACTGCAGCGCCCGTTCGCGCTGGTGGGGAATATGATGAGATTTGGCCAATCCATATCAACCCCCACTCTCCTCTACCTCGAGCAGTCTGTCTGTTTAACGGGGGATTTCTGGAATTGTTTATATTCCATTTATTTATTTATTTTATTTTTAATTTGAATTTTTTGGTGTTGGTGGAAAGTGCTTCTTTCTCACTGGTCGCTGGTCTTTTCCTCGTTTGGCGCTAGCAAGTTCATCACCATTAACACTTGCCCTGCAGCTTTTACATTATCATCAACCCCGTTTGTATCCAACTGTTCTCTGACTAACCTAACTTGTCAGTCTCTAGGTTCTTCTGTTCGGCCCTACCGTCGTCTTCCGTTGATCATCTTTGTCCATCAAGAGCTCAGTTGAACTCGATGTCCTGCATTGTCAGAAATATTGTGCCAACGAGATGATATTCGGATCCGTAGCCAGTCTGAGAAACAGCGCTTGATCGGCCAGTTCAACTGCATTTACTCTCTAGTCAATATTATTTTTGAACAATTCTGTTCCAATTCAACTCCTGACAAGTCTGGTGTTTGGCTGTGAGGATACCCATCCTATCGTGACGCCCGTCGAACTTTGGCAAGACAAAGTGTGAAGTGTTATTTTGACTGGGCGCTGGAAAGATCCCCGTTACCAACCAGCAAGATCATTTAATCACGGCAGACTTTTGGCTTCCTATCTTCCTTTAACTAACAGTGCTGGCGACAATAACATTACCTCTGAACACGCATTTTCGCGTGTCATTTGATCAAAATATTTTACTGGTTAGTGGCTGCAAGCGCCTGTCCCACGCATCTGCCACCGCGAGCGAGAAAAAGAAAAAAGAATTGAAGTGTTGGCACGATCCCTGCTCCTCCTTCAACACGCACGGATATTCTGTGAGGCGTCTTATATGGACGAGTCTGGTTAGCTTCTCCGGGGGCGCTTACTCGGGCAAATGTAGTGGCTACAGGCAATTCCCTAAAACATATACTTGGTCCGTCTGGAGAGGGTTAGCTAGGAACACCCCCGCCAACTTTGCCGGAGCTTCTTGTAACCCTAGTCTTTGTCAACTCCAAAAACCTCACCTGGTTTCAGGTGGTGCCCTTGGCTGAGAATCTCTAAGGTTTATGTTATGCTAGCACAAGGGTCTCAAGCTTCCGTGCCAACAACAATGCACCAAGCAGTCGGCGACCAGGGCATCGCATGGGAACTAGGCTTCTGGAGAAGGGCTCCTTGGAAGGGTGTCTTAAACATCATCGTATTCGCAATCTGTTGCGTGGGGTTGGCCGCTATTCTCGCCAATTCAAACGGCAAGGAGGTCAGCGCATGGCCTCGTTCCTCAATGCCCATATCCGTGTCTGTGTTGTTGTCCCTCATTGTAGGAATTGCAAACCTCTGCCTCACGATTGCTTTGAGTCAAGGGTATGAGATCTCATGGTGGCTCAAGGCCATGCAAGGCGCCGAACTGCGTAGGCTGCAGTTTGACTTGGACATTCAACGCAACTTCTCTGCCTTCCTCAAGCCGTCCCGCACGTTTAATAAATTTGTCTTTGCGGCGGTGATTTCCTTGATGGTCAGCATCATCGACGGGCCCCTCATCCAGAGAGCTTCTACCACTGCGCTGAAGACATTCGGGCCTGACGAAATAATTGTCACGATTCAGGTGTCCAATGCTTCGCTCCCCGCTGACTTCAGTGGCTATGCTGGTGGTAACATTGGGCCCGACCTGCTGACGCCCCTGTTCGGGAATGTCAGTCGAGCATATTCAAATCGGGAGGCGGTCGTCCTGCCCGTTGAAGCATGTCCTACCAACTCAACGTGCATACTAACCCTTCCAGCAACGGGATTTGATGTCGGTTGCACCGAAAGCACCGTGCCATATGACTTCGGCAGACTTTACTCAGCTAAAGCCAATACCATTACACCTTTCAGCGTGACCTTGGATTTTGGTGGCTCACAGGAGGTAGCCTACTTCAGCACAATCAACACCACCGCTCTTTACAAACCTTCCGCCTCGTGTAGTGGGAATTTGATCCACCGGCAATGCATCCTTCGCTTAGCCACAGTTCACTATAACGTGACAGTCGCGAACGGCAAGGCGACAATTTCAGCCTGGCAAATAGGCCAAAATGACACAGTCGAGATTACCAAATTCTCATCCGCCGGAATAGCGGGAGGATACGATACCTTGTTCACCGGTAGCGTAGGAGCCGGCGGTTTCAAGACCATGCTAGGCGGAATATACTTTGTAGCAAATATTCTCTACAACTCTAGCACCGCAATGAGGGCTGCTGGTCATACCGCCGTCCCATACATCCTATCGGCCGCTGGACAAGCCTCAAGCAACTACTTGACCTCATCAGCGTCCACGTACAGCAACTGCACAATGACATGGGATGACCCAACCGAAGATCTCGTGAATACAATTCGTGAACTCATGTTTCGCAGCGCCGTCGCGCAATCCGCTGCCAATTCCTCGTCCGTCATACCACAGCACCCCCTCGCTCAGGAAACGAGACTAGTCAACGCCTACGAGAGTCACTACAGGTTTCTCGCGGCCACACTAGCAATCATGGTGCTGCAGGCTTTCGCAATTGCCATCCTGCTTGTAGGCTGGCACAGACTCGGTAGGAATGTCTCGCTCGATGCTTTCGATATTGCAAGGGCCCTCGGTGCGCCGCTTTTACAGAAGGGAAGTTCCAACGGCACTATCGACGACCTTCTTGCTTGTGTTGGACGTGTGCCGCTTCGGTATGGCGAGATTATTGGTCCAGAAGAGGGCGCTGCTGCACCTATTGTGTCTCAGCACTCAACCCAACAACCGAAAGGCTCTACAAGTGCTGCAGATAGTCAACATGATCAGGTCTTCACAGGTCCGACCTCGGATCAGGAAAATGGTTCTGAAATAGAAATGTCAAGCTTTCTTCCCCCTGAAGATGGTCAATATCGCGCTGTCAGAAGTCTTGGATTGCGTGAAAAAGGGCGAGTGGGTGATATAATAATGGGTGCATTATATTAACTTACAAAAGAAGGCCATCAAATCTGATAATTTGGGGTTTATGAATGAGCGTGGGTATTGAGATGTTAGAGTCCTTCTTGCAGGCTCGTTTCACAGGCTATGGGCTGGGTTACGGTTATCGGCCATGCCCTCAACCGGGAATATTCCGGGAAAACAGCCAAGAAGCGGAACAGGATTCGGGGAAGTTGGGAAAGGATGGGAGCTGACGAACATGTATTTAAGGAGAGAAGGTTGCAGGTTTCTATCTCTTTTGTTTTCTCGTCAGGTTTGTGATACTCGTTGATCCAATAGCTCCATATATCCGTGACCCAAACGTGCCGAATCATTATGAATATGACGTGGACAAAGAAGGTTGGATCGTTTGAGGAGGTCAAACGATGCTCCATTTGCCAATCGAATACAGGTCGGGACATGGGACCATTGTGTCAGGGACTCTTGCTGTCGGTGGTCCATTGGGAAAGATTTATTTTTCAAGTTCTCAAGTCCTCTGGTTGAGACTGCAGGATTTTCTTAGGACTTTACACAGGCCTCCATTTTGTGATAGACAGCCCCCATCCCACTTGCTCACCTGTAGTAGGCAACATGTAGTAACTGCATTACTGATGTCTATATAAAGGTCATACTATATAGAGTAACGTTACTTATATATATTTCTATAAGCGAATTATATGGTCCCGAATTTCACAGTTTTTTAAGCTATCTTTTGGTTGTAGTTTGGTTCGTTTATCCGAAATATATACAACGGATTCAAGACCAAAGTAACGCCATGTATCGCCTAAGTTAACTTCAACGTCACACTATACTGGTGATAAAAAAAACCCCCATCTTTAGGAGGACAATTAGATAAGTGCGATTGGGGTTCGTCTATCCCAAAGGGGAGGTTCAGGTGATGTCTATAGAAGACATCCAGGGCCGTGCGAGGACGGCTCTTCGGCTTTGGCTTGCAGCAGAATCGCTATCTATAGAATTAATTCGCAAAGCATGTTTATGCTGCTATGCTTTAGATACCTGTGAATATACTGAAATTGCTCGAAAATATGCTACAAACATAGGTCGGGTGCTTAGTGTAGTGTGGCGCTTTGCCAAGCGCACAATCCAGGGCCGCAGGCTGTAACTCACATAGGATCCTAATCATGTCTTGACAGAACAATATAATTCCAGTGTATCATTGAATATAATGACTAGTAAGCTATCTGCGAGAGTTCTTTGAAAGACTTGGCGCCGATAAGTCATTACGTAATCGGCGAGGAGCCATTTTCGCCACCAACACTAATTCAGCCCTCATCTTTCCATCAAGCTCAGGGAATTTTGGGCAAGATAGCTGTCTTGGCTCATTATCAGATAGCGCAATGGTGTTCCAAAACCCAAATGAATCTGCTGATGCGCCATACACATCAGGTGATACGGGAATTGAATGTGGGTATCGTCATCCTCCACTACATATTGTACCTGCTGATACAGTCAAGTCAATATTGATTCTGAGTGGAAATGGCTCGAAGAGCTTGGTTCGGAGCATCAGGGAAATGCACTTCATTCACCGATTCCAAGTTCGGACTTGATACCATCTACGTTGAATCACAATGATGCCTCAAGCAACAGCCTGCCTAATTCATCCACAAATGATGAATCTAGCGCACAACACAAGGGATTCTTGTCTACAGATCTTACAACCATGGCTGTCCCAGATCTTGGAGTGTTTGATAGCCCCTTGGACCCCGGTGGTTTTTGGACCCTAGGCGAACAACCAGGGAGCCACCTAAGCCTTTCCAGTGCGGAACAATCAAGAGATGGCAACCCGGGGTTGGGTGCACCCCGTTCCCGCACAAGGCAGAGCATGAAATCTCCCCGATCAGGCTTGCCGAGGCATCGGAGTCGCTACTCAACCAGAAGATTGAGCAAGCATTCGGCGCCCGTCTATATACCGCCAAGTCCTAAGGCGGACATCGATCGTGATCCGATGCAGCGATGGCAGGATTCCCCGCCAGAAGATGAGCCAGCGGCTTTATCAGCGATTATGAATGCTATCCAAACAACACCGGAATGGAACTCTAGAGATTCATCCCAGTCTAGTGCGGGTAACATTCGGCAACCTGCTGATGCTTTCCGCAGCTATCGACATGTTCCATCTTCCAATAGCGGCGAAAGTGGCAACAGCAAGTCATCTCGAAACTCGATGCAATCCGAGAACTCTGGCATTTCTGGATCGTCCAGAAACTCATCTACACTACGGCCTCGAAAACCCCGAGGACGGGTTACAAATCCTCGTTCAGGCAAACCACGCACAGATCATAAGCGTATCTTCTGTTGCACCTTCTGCTGTGACCGCTTCAAGAGTAAATATGATTGGACACGACACGAAAAGTCGCTGCATCTAAACCTGGAGACATGGGTATGTGCCCCTTACGGAGGTTCGGTCTTTTCCATGACCACTAGGCGCCCACACTGTGCCTATTGCCATGCGCTCGAACCAAATGCCGATCATCTCGAGCAACACCATCATCTAGCCTGCCATGGAGATCCAACAGAGCCCCGGGTTTTCCGCCGCAAGGACCACCTTGTTCAACACCTTCGATTGGTGCACGAGCTAGATGTCATGCCCCTGGTCGATGATTGGAAACTTGTGACACAGGATTTCACTTCTCGCTGTGGGATATGCGACCAGAGAATGAACAGCTGGAACGAGCGAGCGGATCACATCGCTGCTCATTATAAAGAAGGAGCAACGATGGTCCAATGGCACGGCGAACACGAATTCCCTCCTGCTATCGCTGCACAAGTCACGAACGCTTTACCACCCTATCTGATTGGGTCTGAGTCGCTAAGCTTGGTCCCGTTTTCTGCGACGGACTCCAATTGTCGCGACCACTTCCAACAAATTTCATCCAACGCAGGAATGGGACAGAAGGTGGATGATCCTCAACCCCATCAATCCCTACCAGAGAGTTTCTCCTCGCAGTCGGAGCTCAGCTCCTTCACTCAAATTCTAACCATGCATCTCAGCCGCTACGCCCAAGCGCAGATGAAACAGGGTGTCATTCCAACGGATGACATGTTCCAGCAAGAATCTAGGCGGTTATTGTACAATTGTGAGGATAGTTGGAACCAGACTGCGGCGGATAATGACCAGTGGCTTTCGGCATTCCGCAGGTTGCATTGCCAGCCAGGAGATCTACCTGTGCCTGGGAATGAAGTGGAGCCGCATACATTGGAAGTTCCAGAGCGTTGAGATCATATTCAATCAATCAAAATCTGTCCCTAATCCGTCCCTGAAGATCTTTACTGTGGCAAAAAGTGAAGTGGCGATGAGAAATAAGGTTATCCCCTAGGGCGTGGATGTGGGTCCTTCCAAGGTCGGATGTTCAAGTCCAGGGTTCAACGACAACCCAAATCAACGGATCGATCTCTGGATTTCGATGATGTACAATCGGCATCAACTCCGAATTCGAGCAAACTCCGCGCACACCCAGTTCTAACCGGATCATGAGAAAAGTGGGTCCATGGCGTAGGAGACAAACGGACCTTTTGATGATGGTTGTGATGTCTTCTAATATGCATAAAGAGAGACCTCATCGTTCTTATTCAGCTAGGTTCTTTATATCACACGTGTGATTCCTTATCTCGCGATCCTACTACGCCGCAGTATGCATCGTTCCGCCCAAGTTGCCAAATCAAAAAAGCCAAGAGTCCATGTTCTCGGACTAGGAAGCATTGGAACATTTGCTGCACACTCTCTATGTGAACTCCCTGACCTTCCTTCTGTCACCCTTCTCTGCCACCGCCCATCCCTCCTCGATGCCTACCGCGATAACGGAAACCAAATTCTTCTAGAAACAATAGAAGGAGATGAGATCGGACGCAAGGGATGAGTTTGAAGTTTTCCGCGATGGAACGTGGTTCTCAGGCTCGCCATAGAAGGCAGTGATTGTTCCGCGCAGACCGGCGTGATTGAGAACCTCATAGTGGCCGCAAAGGCTACACAGACGGTTTCTGCTCTACGACCCTTGCGACACCGTCTTATCCCCAATCCAACGTCCTCTTCCTTCAGAATGACTGCGGCACGATCGACGAAGTCAACGCGGAACTCTTTCCGGAGTCGGTCGAGCGTCCGAATTATATAGTCGGTGTCATCTCCCATGGCGTCACTCTGCACAAGTCCTTCCACATCACTCACACACACACCGGTTTTGCAGCGACGTCACTCGGCCTAGACCCAGATCGACTGAAGACCCGACCGACGGCACAGAAAAAGCCTCAAGTTACCTCCTCGATACCCTCCCACTCTTACCTCGTCTGAATGCCACTTCGTATACCCACACCGAGGTCCTGCAAATTCAGCCGGAGAAACTAGCCGTGAACGCGTGCTGTAATCCGTTATGCGCCCTCAACGACGCGGAGAAGGCTTTTTTTTTTCACGATCCCCAAAACCAGACGCGCGATCTTGACCGACATCTCGAATATGGTATGTGCACTACCAGAGCTGCAGCACGTCTCAAACCTCAAACAGCGATTTGCAGTCGACAAACTTCAAGGAGCAGTCAATGCGATCGTCGAGACAACATTCTATACTACGTGTTCAATGGTGTGGGACCGCGGAGCGGGGCGTGAAACAGAAATTAAGTTCATCAATGGGTATTGGGTGAAACGGGGCAAAGAAGTCAGAGTCGCGACACCTGTCAATGAAGATCTAGTGGCGAAAGTTGGGATGCAAGAGCGAAAGAATTGAGTTTTGTTTATTTTGATAGACAGTTGCGGCATTTATGATAGTGGATCTCGAAGTTTGTATACAGGTACGTACAATGATGCTGAAAAGTCAACTTGATAGTGTAGTCGGCGATCGCAATGGACAGGCACGTATGGAGTAGTGCGTCAGATTCAGACCCTATCTCCTCATCTAGGTAGGTCGATGTATCAGAATTAACGGTGGGGGTAAAAGAAGAGCCGGTATAGCCGCCTGGTCATGCGAGCACGGGTCAAGCCGGAGAGCAAATGTTGAGTAGCTTCATCAACACGAGATTGGAACCACGGCTTCGGACGAGGCCCGAACGCTGTCAGAAAGAGGCGAGCTCCGTGGCATGACTCGGCAGCGAAGCGAACTATGCAGAGCCAATCACTGCGTCCAAGCTACGTCTTTTATGCAAGCTCACCCCTATGCTCTTGTGCTGCATCCGGCACCTATCCCCATGTCACATATAGTACGGAGTCAACGGCATCTAACAGTGGAGGAGAGCCCCGAGTGGATGCAACACTCGGGGCCCCAATAACTTAGTGCGTGGGATGCGTAGAGCGTTGGGGTACAGGAACAACAGCAGTTAAGCACCTGATATTATTGGAAATCGTAGTGTAAATCTTGGTGGAGCACCAAGAATCAGGCAGCGAATCATAGCTTCGGGATCAATTTCGGGGTAAACCTCGGGGATTCTGCTGCCCTCGGCCTCACCGGGATCTTTACGTAGGAATCGGGTACTTCCCGAGGGCTCAAGGAAATTTTTATTCCAGCGCCAAAATGGACTTCTCTTAGGCTCATATAGCATGCCATCCTAGTATATCTTATTATCTGACTACATGTGCTTTTTTACGCCATATCCATATCACTATCTGTTCTACTATCACAATTTCCATAGAAGCGCCGACCGTGTACGGCATGCCGACCTCGTTTTTGAGTAGGTGGACCCTGTATCCAATCAGGTCCACTCGGCTCGGGAGGATCTTCGGTTCATTGTCGGGAGTATACTCGCAAATCTTGACTTCTCTGGTTATCGTCCGACAAATCGTCTGTTCTTACGATGTGGCGCTGTTGTTCTTGGTGGCTATTCGTCGGAGAATCTACTGGTCCACATTTCCTTTTTGGTATTAAATCTTTTGAGGGGACGTGAAGCCACGCCCCAGACGTTCAACCTCTAGTATGGAGAAAGCAGGGGGAACGCAGGAAGCCGGAGTTGAAGGATCGTGCTCAGCCTTTTCTCGAAGTTATACTTCAAGTCCGATCCAACGATGGGATGAGGCGCGATTCAGGTACCAGGTACAAAGTTTTTCATGTAGATTTGTTTGTACCCACTTACTGGTCACTTGCCAACAGTGATTGATCGGATGATTCTTTCTCGGGCAACTTTCTCGAAGGGCAATCCATTACTACTTGAAATTCCTTCCCCACCCTCCGTATAATCCCGCACGCAGCCCCAGTTCTCACCAATTCTGGAGTCTGGAGCATGACGTACAGCGGCTGGGCATAGCCGGTGCAAATTTATATGTTCGACTTCTCCCTCCCATCTTCTCTCAGACCAGTTCTCTTCAACTCCCTTCCCACCTCCCTCCTATATACATCATCATCATGAAGCCGTCGAAGAATCCCCAGCCTGTGTCGGCTGATCATGATGAGAATGTTCAGACTGTCCAAACAGTCACTCGACCTGAATATTCGAAGAAGGGCCTCATCGTCGGAGGAAAGTACCGTGACGAGCTGTCTGAGGAACAATCACAACAATATGACAGCCTATTACAAGAGGTCGGCATCGACATGCCTCTCACAGTGACCAAGCCCACCGAACACAATGGACAACAGTTCATCATCCTCGAGTTCCTCGAGGCAGACAAAGAGAACCCCTTCAACTGGAGCGGAGCCTACAAGGCTTTTATCAGTACTCTGCTCTGTTTGATGACACTGTTCATTGGTCTCGCCACAACAGCTTATAGCTCAGGAATTACGCGCATGACAGAGGATTTAGGAACCTCCACAGAGATTGGCCAGCTTGGACTGTTCTGCTTCAACTTCACCTGTGCCTTGGCTCCCTTGTTCTTAGCTCCATTCTGTGAGCTTGCTGGTCGACGAGTTGTCTATGTGGGCGCGTACGTTTGCTTCGCTCTCATGTTCATTGGTCTCTCCTTGGGCAAAAACATTGCTACCATCCTTGTCTGCCGTGCCCTGCTCGGTCTGTTCGGTTGCGTTGGTACTATCCTTGTCGGTGGTACCTTCGGTGACATGTACACCCCCGAGCACCGTGCCATCCCCATGGCTTCGTTCTCTTTCGTTGCCATCTTCGGTACCGTTGCCGCTCCCATCTACGCCGGTTTCATCGACCAGGCTTTGGGCTGGCGCTGGGTCGAGGGTATCCAGGGTCTGGCCAACATCCCTCTCGTGATCGTCATTGCCGTCTTCCTCTGTGAGACCCGTGGCGGTGTGACCCTCTCTAAGCGTGCAAAGGCTCTCCGCAAGTCCACTGGTGATGAGCGCTTCGTCACCCACAACGACCTCGAGGCCCCTGGTATCAAGCAGATGCTGCACAACTCGTCCGTCAAGGCCGTCAAGATGCTGTTCACCGAGCCCGTGGTTTTCGCGTTTGGTCTCTGGATCAGTTTCGCCTGGTTCCTGGCCTTCCTTTTCTTGTCCGTAATCCCCATCACCTTCCAGGAGAAGCGTGGTTGGAGCGAGGGTGTTTCCGGTCTTCCCTATATCTCCCTCTGCATCGGAACCACTATCGGCTTCGCTCTGAACTTCCTCCAGATCCGCAAGTACAAGGCTCTAACAGCCGATGCCCACCGTGTTGTTGACCCCGAGTCCCGTCTGTATGGAGCCCTCTGCGGAGCCGTCTGGCTGCCCATTGGTCTGTTCATCTACAGCTTCACCCAGTACAAGGATCTACCTTGGATCGGCCCCAACATCGGACTGGTGCTGATTGCCGTTGGTATCTTCTTCATCTTCGAGTCCTGCTACAGTTACACATCGGACTGCTACGGTGAACACTCTTCATCCGCCATTGCCGGCCAGGGTTTCATGCGTAATACCCTCGGTGCCGTATCGCCTCTGTTCGCCTCGCAGTTCTTCCACAACCTCGGAAGCCAATACGCTGGTCTGCTTTTGGCTCTTATTGCGACTCTGTTGACTTTCATTCCATTCATCCTGTACAAGTTTGGTCCCGCGCTGCGCGCCCGGTCTAGACTTGCCAGTGCCACTGTCAGTGCTGCCAGGGGCGAGTAAATATTTGTATTTCTTGCGATCTTTGCGTGTCAACGCATAAGTCATTATGAGCATCCATACGGAGTATATAGAATAGGGTTTGAAACCCCACACACAGCGAGCAAAAAGTTTTCACTGCACTTACTTCCACACTTCCAAAATGAAACGTTAGTAGCCAACTGTAAAAACTTGTAAAATTTAGAATCTTGCCTCACATATCAGGCACCAACATCAAAATCAGCGACCAATCAGGATACACACGTGACCAAGCAGAA